TTTATACAGAACAAGGAGGGTTGTGTCGTTGCCATTATATTGCAGATCTAGACCCCAATCCTGTGGTGCACTTTTATTCTCACTCAATAAAAGTGCACTTACACTTTTTGAGATGGTAATTTCTAGTGCAAAATTAAATAAACTAAATCTCACCGCTGTTGCATTTCACCGCTTTGCACAGGAGTCCCGCAGGGCTCTGTTTCAGTCCCCATCTTCTACATTCACATAAGTGCTGGATTGGAAACAATTGAGATTGAGTTATTTTTGCCGAATACATCCTGGGTCAACGACCAAGTGCCTAAGTTGATTTACCACATTTTGTGTTGCTGTTTGCTGACTCAACAAACTGCGCTAGCCCCCCAAAATTGGTCAATGTAACTAAATCAAATGTTAATCTTCCCGAAGAGTGGCTTGAAAACAATAACCAATAGCCTAGATTACTAGAAAAGTACTAGTTGGGTTAAAACTGTTTTTAATTTATTATTTACTTCATCTCATTTTGCACTAGAAGTTGCCACCTCAAAATGTGTAATAGCACTTTTATGGAGAAAGAAAAAAGTTACATGTGCTCCATACCTAACACTGCCTAAATGTTTATGCTTCCCTCCAAAATTTAATTTAAAAAATGACATTAATGCACCTAAAACGTCTGCGCAATATATGAAACTGCAATTGGAATCTGAGATTCAATAACGTTTTTCTAACAAATAATATACTTGAATCGTCTCGTATGCTTTCCATGTGCATCTTGGGCTTTGACAGACTAATTGATCTTAAACACTTTATGTATATTTTAGTGGCTGAGATATTAAAACTCTCATACATTGCTGGGGACCTTGTGGAGTAGTAAAGCAAGAAAACAATTATCTGATACTGTGTAGTCTTTTGGTTTTCTTCAGTGTTTACATCAACCTGCTGGCAATTAGGTTATTTTATAACAATTTCTTACTTCTCAGAGTTTCTGAACAATCTGATTTTTTCTTTGTTTAGTTCAAAATGCTGGACTCCCTTTAGTCTCTTCTCAAATCCAACGAAACACTGAATGATACGTCCAATCCATGGGTAAACGAAGTAACCCAGCAGGTTCTCGTCCCACAAAGAGACCGAACTGTCGGAAAGCACAAAAGAAGCTGGGCTGATCAATGAAGGAAGCCAGCATGCCAGCAAAGTGAAGGTCAAGAGGCTAAAAGAACCTGAGCGTTAAAAACATCTCAGCTTTAAAACAGAGAGTAAACATCCGATAATTGAGTCAAGGGGGAAATGAAATATTCACTTGCAAATGAACATTGGCTCACAAAAATAGGGTGAAGGGGAGGAAAAATACAAAGTTTTATTTATTTTATTTAAAAAAAATCATTCAATGAAAAAAAGCCCCTCAAACGCTACATTTCCTGAGAAGTCTGAGAAAAAAAGAGGAAAAAAAAAACTCTCTCAAGATCTGTTTATATCCTTCTGCTGCAGCACCAGTGGGAGTATCCTCTGTCAGAGCAGCATCCTGTTAAGGCGCGCAGCTCTGCAGCTGATAAGGGAAGGCACTGTAGAAAGGTGCAGAAGACCGCATTGAGGACATTATCAGCTGTCCACTCTTAAAGACAAACACACATCCCTGTGGGCTGCAGAAAAGACTCTGGATGCTACTGCCACCCCAGTAATCAGTTTGTCTAAACTTCAGCACCAAGGCAAAGCTAGCAGGGCCCAGCAGAGCATGTCCTGCGAAATGAGAAGAGAAAATCTCAAATCGTTACCACAGAAAGCTCACATTGTGGATGAAGATTTTGTGCTCTTTATGTGTTTATCTACCGAGAATGACGAGTGCCACATTACAATAAACAAAGGACTTATGCAATAATTATTTAAACCTGTCATTGATTCATCGAAACCGGGTATTAAAAACCCCAGTTAATACATTCCCGTAACTGCTGGATTGGAAACAATCCAGCAAATTCTACATTCTAATCAAATATAGAATTGATTATATGTGGGCGGTGCTAACGTTGATACTGTTTGTGGCAGGCCAAACTGGAGCTAGAGAGGCTGAAGTTGCTCACTCAGTAAATAACCCGAAGTCATTTTCACACTTCTAGTTGAAGTATTGTCCCAGCAGGCTTGGAGGAAACTGTCTCGACTTGCCGCCAACTAAACGTCAGGTTTGACGGAGGAAGTTAACAGATCAAATCAGTTCATGATGTGCTTCGTCACATGAAATAAGTTATTCAATCATGGGAAATAAAATCCATGCATTTAACTGCGGCACATGAGATTAGTTTTATGTTTAGCAAATTACTTCTGGATTCAGTCACAGTTTTAATGACACGTTTAAGTCATTAGGACACAAGTCATGTATTTGTTGTTATTCGGCACGCTTCCCTCTGCATATTTAGCACTTGCTGACCGACTTTTTATGATTATCTGTGACAGTAAGAATTGGTTCTGAACTAAGTAAGTCCTTCCTACCGTTTTTCTGCTTTTGCCTTCTAAATATGCCTCTTTAGCAAAAACAGGAAGTTTTGATGCGCAAAGCAAAGGGAAAATGTTCCTCTTGGGATTACGGCATAATCTTTCCATACAGTCTGTCCAGCAGGGAGTCCATACATTCGTTCGGGTCATACTTTGAATTCCTGAGCTGAGAAGTGAAATAAACAACTCCAGCTGTCTAAATTGGATCTTTGTCCTCATGTCTGAACAACGTGGCGGCAAACTTTTTATCATTTAGAAGCTTGGAAGATTGTTTGCTTCTTTGTGTTAAAACTCAGCCCCACACAGCCACGGAAAAGCAGACAGAGACTTTAGGGCAGAGTAATGGAGGGTGTGACCTTAATCCCACAGTGGGAAAGAAAGGAAGAAAGGCGCACGCACACACACACGCACACACACACACACACACACACACATCTGGTCTATCCAGTTTCTCCTTTGTATCTCATAGGAAAACTATGTCGGAGGTTAAACAAGTGTTAGACCCAAAGCAGCTTGTGTAATCTACTTCTTTATACCCAAGAAGAAGTGAGTCATCATTGAAGGCGGACACTGTCCCTGCAGGATGCTGTCATTCATAAAATAAGGGTGCGGACGCCTGTTTCATTTATCCTGAGACTCATTGATGAGTAATCAACCATTACCCACATACGCTACCTTTCACTTCTCTGATTAACGCAGACGTTTTCACTGACAAGTGCTGTACCGGGGCCAACGTTACCACTTGCAACAGAGGACTGTGCAGGGCGTGCAAGCCTTTACGTGTTACACCAGGACACCACTTTTAATACATCTGTTTCAGCTAAAGGCACGTTATACCCAGCTGGTGGACGGAAGAGATTTTGTAACTGATTCTATCCAAATAGTCTGTAGTCGAAGATGAACCCTGGAGCCCTTAGAGGCAAAACACGGGATACACTCACAACAATAACACTTTTCATATATAGTCTGTTGCAAAAATAAAATAAATAAATAAAAAACCAAGTCAAACCATGTGAACCTTCTCCAGTTTTTGCATCATTATACAACCATAAACTTCTTAAGAGACCATGATCATGCAGATCAAGGAACACACCAACCAGGTCGGGGATGACCATACGAATGTATGGTCACAACTCCAAACATGCCAAGACATGGCAGAGCTCCTAAACTGACAAGATGGTCAAGAAGGGCATTAATCGAAGCACCAGGAGGAGCTGAGGTACACAAGAGAGAAAGTGTTGACAGGATAGTGTTGCACTCCAATCTGGAGAAGCCGAATTTTCCTTGCCGTGAACCCCTCCAGTCAAGTTAAAGACTCAGCGATCTGCACTGTTACTCTGTCGTTACTTTCTCCAGATTTGGACACAAGTAGTTCCAAACCAATAAAATGAATATATTGACGAATAAATAGCAACAACCATGCAAAAGAAAGGCATAAACAACTTTTATATCCAAGAAGAAAAGGGAGAACATTTTAAACTAACAGTTTCTAAAACTCATTGACTGAAATGTCAACTTACACTAATATGCTAAATATAAAAATTACATTTTTACATAAATGTCAGTAGTTACATCTCGCAAGTGAAAACAGTGAATACATGCATAGTTAAATCAATAAGCATCAATATAAATGATCAAGATCAAATACTTCCTATCTTAAATGTTTAATAAGAAAATACAAAACCGTAAATAAATAATAAAGAATTATGAATTTGCTTGTAATTACTTACACAAACAAAGTCAATATTAAAATGATAAAAACATGACAGCAACCAGAAACTGAAAACACGCTCGTTTTTAAATCAATTGCAGTAGCCAAATCAAGAATTAGCTGATTCTTGTTTACAGCAACAAGAATCAACTAATTTAATAGTCTGGCATGTTTATTTTGCCTCTACACTGCCCCCGTGTGGTTAAAACGCTGTAGTTTACTACACTTTGTGACAGTGTGAGTGAAGTGAGTATGTGTGGGGAGGAGAGAAAGAGATGACAGAGATTCAAAGCCTCAAGCTGGATTGTGTTTGTGTTTCAGCTTCCATATGAAATACAGCGAAGAGGTTCTTTCTGGAGCCGGCTAATGCTCACCCACACATCTGGCCACTACCCGCAAAGAGTCTCATTACGTCAGACTTTATAATGAACTACAACCGTGCTAACGCTTCATGGCCGGATATTAAATTAGAAGATGTGTCTCATCAGCTTGGAAACTGCAGAATCCATCAATAATGCCTTGGGACATAAGTACTTCCTGTGAATTTCCAAACGCCTCATTTTATTCTATCAGTGGGAGCCAGAGTCTCTCGATGGAAGAAACCATTTGGACTCGTGAACGGGGGTGTTCGCTTTTCAGCTCACCCACTTTTTAAGATACCAGCACGTCTTTCTTTAATCCATACGAACTAATATCATGTAAATACTTTGCAAGAAACACGGATTTAAAATAAAAGGACAGTACGACGGTTTGTAAAATATTTAAAGCACATTGTGAATTCCTACCCTCCTGAAAAAGTTGGTACGTCTTACACCCTGCCGTTAGCCGTTGTTGTACCCTATGCTACTGAACAGATTTACCGCGATACAAACTAGCTTCCCACTGGCCTTAATCGCCAGAAAAGATGCTTCTTCACAGGATTAAAACGATAAAACAAACACCAGGACGTCTGGGAAAACTTTACCCAACTGTGCCCAAACTTTGATACGACCACCAACCAAATATAGTTTTGAGTGTGTTAGCTTTGTTTTATTATCTCCCCACTAATTTTTTTTGCCACTGGTCCGAGGTTTTCAGCTTCTTTCTTTTCCTTTCTTTTATTTTTCCTTTTCATTGGAGGAGCCCAGTCTCATGAATTCGCCGAAAAAGGACGGAGACGATGATGTGCCCGTTAAAGACCCGGTGAAATACGGAGAGCTGGTCATTTTAGGGTAAGTCTTTCTGTAACGTAACGGTCGGAGTGGTTGGTTGGCGGGGGGGTCGAAACGCTCCAGCGGCAAATCACATTAAACGCGTGGGAGCTCCGTTAACGCAGTAATCCGCGAGGCGACGTGTTAAATCCGGTTTTACTCACAAACACGTCGCTCTTAACATTGTTTTTCGACGCCAGCTGTGCTGTACTAACATAGTTGGGCTCGTTCATCACACATGCCCGTCGGTTCTACCAACAGTCTTGACAGCGTAATAGTGATATAAAGTCGGTGGAGCGAATGAGCCGAGCAGCGTTTTGTAAATAATATCCCGGCACGTAACTTAAAAATGACCGCTTTCAGTGTAAATGGCGCAAAGTCTGCAGTTGCTGTACTACAGAAGAAGGCTACTACGGTGGTAGCCGCTTATTCATCAATGGTTGTAGTGGGGGTGAGCAGGCTGAAAGCCCCAATGATGTCATCCACTGCTGGATCCGCGACTGCCTAAAAGTAGGTCTGAGGAGCAAACCATTGTCAGACACATGCATGCGCCTCACTTTTAACATAAATATGTTCATCTATGTATTGGGGTCTGGTCGTTAAGAATTTATTTATTTTTTTTAAATCGTCTCAGTCTGATTCATGCCAGGGATGAAGGCGGAGGAGGTGAAGTAGGAGGATGAAGAGGAGGAGGAGGAGGAGGAGGAGAAGAAAAGCCCCTTTACATCACCAGCGCGCACACATGCATGCAGTGGGCAGGATGTGCTGATGACAGCCACCGGCTTCCACAGCCTCTCCAGTCCCTAAAGCTGCACGCTGTGCGGAGGTCTGCAGGGACCATAAATGCCACCACACACACACACACATATATGTACACAAAGATGCACCATCATAACCAAACTGCCAATGCAGAGCTTCCTGTGGCTGCCAAAGATAAGTGACCTAATGGCCTATCCCTTCCTTCTCCTCGAATGAGCATAGAGAGGAGACTCTCATGTGGTTGCTCTCATCAGCATACCGATTAGTTGCCCCCGCCGCCTTGTTGTCTGTCTGTTTGAACAGAGCTCCCCTTTACATCCTTAAGATCAGGATGAGTAACAAGTGAGAGCCTTTTTCAGTTCGAGCGTGGCTATCTGCATCCTGTAATATAAAAGCAGAGGGGGGACAAATCAGGCTTTTGCTGACTGATACCGATTTCTCGCTGCCGTTAAGCTTCGACCTGTAAACTCGATTACTGCTCAAGAAGTTGCAGGGTAATGCTTTTTACTGAAATACGTACCTACCACAAACGCCAGTGGTGAGTTCATTCTGACTGTGCTGAAGATAGAGTAACGCAGCTGCTGTCGGTCAGTTGTTGGCTTAAAGATCGGTGCTCCTCTCACCTACAAAAGACAACTTAAGCTTTCTGAAAATGTTCCAAGTCACAAAAAAACACAATACCTCCACCAAGCCCTCTGATGAAGCAGCGCCGTTCTAAAACCATCAACATATGATTTTTGTTTTTCACAAAAAATGTGAATACAATGAAACTGGTATTTTGTTTCCTCAAATTATTCTACGAGCATTTGAAATTGCTCAGACACCCTTCATTCAGTGATTATAATCTGATTATGCCAGGAAAAGAAACATTTATAGAAGAATACAAGAGAAGAGCCGGGTTCCTCCAGAAAACCTGCGATTGCCAGTGGTAGGGGTTGCTAGGCTGGTCATCCCACCGTGTTTTTGAGTTAAAAAATGGTCAAAATTGACAGAAAATTTTAAAATGTCTCCAATTAATAGTTATTTATTATTGGAATACATTAACATCAACTATAAAGTCTTTTAAAAATCCAGGAAATTCAGGTGTAAAAATGTTTTTGAACCCTCTCCAGGCAGATGTTTCAGATTTGCAACAACTTAGCTAGTCTTTGCAAGTAATTTGAGCCTGAGAGGGTTAAGATTAACAATATACAATATTACAACAGAAAATGCTGTGCGGTTATGAGGTATAGCATAATGTTTTTACTAAATTGATCCTAAAATATGTTTTCGGTAGGACTTGTTAGAGACCATTGATCACACAGCAGTCCCTCCCCGCACCCTTTAAAAATCAGATCAAATATATTTAAACAGGCCTTTCTTTCTTCTGCTTCCTGTCTGATATCATTACTCCCAGGCCTGTTTTGTGCTTGCGTGCTTTTACATGGATAAGGTCAGCCGCTGACGCTCACATGGCCTCTGCGGTTGATGTCTGCCTCACTGCGGTCCGTGGGCTCTGTGCAGCCTCGTCCTGCCAACATTCGTTGTCTTTACTAGTCTCCGTACGATGCGCCACGTCCAGCAGAGTTCGCCCACACTCGTCAGCATTTCAAACATCTGCCTCCGCGCGCATCCTCGTCCACAACCCCGTGGTGCCTTCCGACCCAGTCCCCTCGCTCCCCGGCCCTCCAGTGTTCTGCTGAGTATCAACTTTGACGGAAGCAGGCTCCCGGTCTGTGGTGGCTTGCCCTTAACAAAAATAAACCCCGTGTTGAGGGGCAGAAGGAGTGAATATTTCATACGGTCTTTGCGCATGCGTGTTGCGTGGTCAAGGTCCGCAGATGTACCATGAGGGTCTGGATCTCCCTGTCTGGTGTTGTTTCGGATTTATGCTTCTGGTTATAATTTTTCAAATTAGATTCTGGCTGCTTTTATGCCCTTTCTGTCTTATGTACTCCATTTTCTCTAGATATTTTCTCTTATGATCTCTGATGTTCTGCCTTGTATTTTGAAACTCAGACCCCGCAGAACTCTGTCCTTATGTGTCCTGTTTCATCCCGACCCAGATTAGTTTGATCTGACTGGCCCGGACATAAAAACCTCAGGTTAACTTTGAGTCATGCTCCTTGATTTGAACAATGCTGCGCTACTGGTGGCTTGTTCGAAATGTCGTCTTGGTAAATTCACTTTGATCAGTCCGGTTAAAATGAGTTCAGTTTGTAAAAGAAAAATAAGATAGATATAAGAAAGGTTTGGCTGTATTTACACTGATATGAGGAAATATGTTTCTGTTTAGGTGGAGTTGTTTTTGGTTTGTTGCCATATGATTAAATTATACTTTCACTAGAGCTTTAACTGCTTCAGTTAAAGTACAAAAATATTCTCCCTATTTGAGCTTTTTCATATTTTGCCAAAAAAAAAAACACCAAAAACTTCTAAATATTGTTTTGGAATTTTATGTGATAAACCAAGCCATAAACAGTGGATAAATATTGAGTAAAATAAAAGTGACCCTTGAATTTTCATATTTATTACACATACAAGCACATAGTTTGGTATCCATTTGTGTTCGACCCCACTGATTCAACATTTAGTTTTTTTTTTATCTTCTAGTTGTAATTTGCCAGTTTATGCATCAAAACGCTGAAATAGTTTTCACTGTATTCCTTAAAGTCAGATGGAAGGAAAACCATCTGTATACAGCGATTTCAAAACATTTCCACTAACTGTAAGGTTTTTCTTTCTTTCTTTAACTAGGCCATTCTACAAACAGGAATATGCTTTGACCTAAACCATTTAATTAAAACTCTGGCTGTAGAGTTTGTGTTGTTTGCCAATCTCAAGTCCCTTGTAAACTCTGCTTTTTGTTGGTCTGTCCAATAAAATGCTGAAAATTGCGAAGAGCATGAATACTTTCCCCGTATCTGTGGGCCAATATGGTCAGTTGATGAGTCTTTTGACAGTCTTGTGGTGTGCTGGGTTCTCACCCCCCCAAGTGCTTTCGATAATGACCAAAAACTGCTGATTACCAAAAGAAGCACAGCCCCTTCTGTGTGAACCCAAACCATGAAAATGATGTTTTATGCAGCTTAAAAACTTTAGATTCGTCTGAACCAGCTCTCCAACAAAGTTTAACAACACACCAGGCTGGTTTGTATTCAATCAAATGTACCTTTATTCTGAAATCTTCCTTCAGCACCAAGAACGAAATGTAAAAAAATATTTTTTTAGACGGTTGCAGTCAGGCAAATGTAACAAGAGTTAAAGCTTCAGTTAAAGCACATCTTGATGATGCTGTTTGTTTCAGATGACTGCTCCAGCTGAACGACTCATTGCTACAGCTAGCTATTTGTCTATTTGTCTCATTTAATTAATTCCAGGGGAATAAAAAATATATATATATACCTCCAAAGATCTGCATGACTACTCAAAGTTGGCAGCATCACATACAAAGAAGCAGTGAAACAAACAAAACAAAAAACTTGTTTCATTTACAAATATGTTTGAAATGACGCTATAACAAACCAGTGAACTGGCTAGGCTGTATGTTTGGTCTCTCTGTCATTCAACACTACAGATCGCCTGAAAGAAGAGCGACTTATTGCAATGTTCTGATTTCCCTGTCCATCTCCAGGTACAATGGCTCTCTCCCGAGCGGAGACCGCGGGCGCAGAAAGAGCCGCTTCGCTCTTTACCGAAGGGCCAAGGCCAACGGCGTCAAGCCCAGTGCTGTGCACATCCTCAACACGCCGCAGGACAGCAAGGTATGCATTTGTGTACGCTGAAACGGCTTGCAAGTTTCCTGCCTTTGATCGTGTGTTGGCCTTTGTTTGGCTGTCAGAGGCAGGAAGTGAACTTGTTAAGAACGGCGTTTTTGTGCTCTGTCCCTTAAGTCGTCCAACTTGGGTTTCTTGGGAACATATATCATAAAAGATTTACCATTATCTGGTCGAATCACAGTAGATTTTTTATTTTTTAACCAAACTGAAACTGTTAATTTTGTCAGTGGTAAAAAAATAAAAGTTGCAGTGTGCTTATGCTGCTTGTTGCTGCTTTCATGTTGCAGGCGGTCCACAGCAGAGGGCAGCACAGCATCTCTTTCACACTGTCCCGTAACCAGACTGTGGTGGTGGAGTACTGCCATGACAACAGCACAGACATGTTCCAGGTAAAACACACAAAACAATCTTTAAGACACGGTTGCGTTTCTTTTTTGAAACATCCTCTTCCTGATACCCATGTGATCATGTGCAGGTTTCTCCGCAAACGCTCTGATGTAATGCAACATGAAACTAGGCATATTATTTCAGTTCAACGTTGCGACGATTAAGAGCTAAAAATAATTTTCAAAGAAAATCTATTTTTGTCTTAAAACTTAGGCTGTTGTTTTTTTTCTCCCCCTTATTTCCTATAAACGATGAATCGTATTTCCATTTCCTTTTTAATAATTGAAAACATAAACAACCATGGTTCAAAGTCTCAGTAAACTTCAGAGACCTAGTCAGAAACTACAAAAGATTACTTATTAACCGATTCAGCAGTCATGTCACCCATTTTTTAGCATCGGCAGTAACAAACTGTAGGTTTGGTTTATTTTAACACTGTAATGAAACATGAGTGAATTTTGTTTGTCATGCAGATCGGACGGTCCACAGAAAGTCCCATTGACTTTGTGGTGACCGACACCTCCGGAGGGGGGACAGAAGGAGAAGACCCATCCATCGCTCCCAGCACTATCTCCCGCTTCGCCTGCAGAGTGGTGTGCGAGCGCAACCCGCCCTACACCGCACGCATTTACGCCGCAGGCTTTGACTCGTCGAAAAATATCTTTTTAGGGGTGAGTGTGACAAGAGTCCTGCACAGAGGCTCTTTCTGTTTGGAAATGCTGAAGCGGCGCTCTCATCACTAGGAGAAAGCAACCAAGTGGAAAAATCCCGACGGCCACATGGACGGCCTCACCACCAACGGGGTGTTGGTGATGCATCCGGAAGGTTTCCCGCAGGACCCCAAGCAGGGTCTGTGGAGGGAGATTTCCGTATGCGGAGATGTCTATGCCCTCAGAGAAACGCGCTCTGGGCCCAGTCGGGGCAAACTGGTGAGTCACCTCAGCGTTGGTTTGCTCCGTAGATCTGGTTTGGGTTGAATATCCCTGTCTGTATGCAGGCAGAAGGGGAGAGCAGCGCACTGCGGGACGGCTCCCTGGTGGATCTTTGTGGCGCCACTCTGCTGTGGCGCACAGGGGAGGGACTGATGCGCGCTCCCACCCTGCGTCACCTAGAGGCCCTTCGTCAAGAACTGAACGCGTCCCGACCGCAGTGTCCCGTAGGCCTCAGCACGCTGGCCTTCCCAAGCTTACCACGCAGCCACAGGTGAGGCTGCCGTCACTTGATTTAGTGTTGACTTTTTCTGTCAGGCAAAAGTTTGAGTGACTCGAGGCAGCAGAGGCTGCAGGTAATTAGCAGCTAATACACCTTTGTTCGCTAGCTTACTTTTTGATTTATTGGTGAAAACTTTTCACCAAATAAATATACATATGTATGCATATTGTACATTTACCATGGTTAAAAGTCCTACATTTTGTCATGGTAAGACTATTTAATCTCGCATATGCTATGCAGTTGTTTTTTGTTTTCTTATGTGACTTTTCTGTTTGGCAAAAGTTTGAGTCACATCCAGACATTGAGATCAGGGAGTTGTATGGATCGAGGCGGTTGCGGCTACTGGTAGCTTAATGCTAATACACCTTTGCTAGTAAGCTAGCAAAGGTTTTGCGTTTATCATGGGTACAAGCAAAATTTTTACAAAATTCACATCCTTAAAAAGTCTTAAATGTATGTACTTACGTAAATGTAAGTCTAACACATATAAATATAGTACATTTATAGCGATACAGGTCTTAATTTTCACTCATAATAGCCTTAGAAGGTCTTAAAAAGTCTTAAATTCGAGTTGATAAAACCTGCAGAGACCCTGATTAACACCGATGGAAGGGTCCATTGTTACAAACATACAAGGAATTGCGTGTCGTTACATCGAGTTGATTTGTTGCCGCAGCCTTGAAGAGCGTCAGCCCTGGGTCTACCTCACCTGCGGCCACGTCCACGGACGCCACGACTGGGGCCAGAGATCTGAGAGGGTGGAGGAGCCCGGGGAGGGTGAGGGCTCCACCAAGCGCCGAGAATGCCCCCTGTGCAGAAGCGTGGGCCCCTATGTGCCGCTGTGGCTGGGCTCTGAGCCTGCCGTGTACGTGGACGCCGGAGCGCCCACTCACGCCTTCGTACCGTGCGGCCACGTCTGCTCGGAGAGGACAGCCAAATACTGGGCTGAGACCCCTCTGCCCCACGGGACACACGCTTTCAGGCCCGTCTGCCCGTTCTGCTCCGCCGCCCTCGGTAACCCCGGCTGGATACGGCTCATCTTCCAGGGCCCCATCGACTAGCTGGACCTTCAGTAACCACCATCCCAACCACAGGAAGCTACTTTAGCCTCATTCCCGTGGCAAACGTCAATGATGAATCAATTCAGTGTTGAGCATGGCTGTCAGGGCAGCACATGCGTTCTGAGTGTTCGACCACGCTCTCCAACGTTGTGTTACAGAATGTTGCTCGATCCGTCCCCTTGTTTATCCTTCAGAGCTTCAAGATCAGGAGGACATGACAGACGAATCAGTACTAACAAGTAGATAGTGATTCTTCTAATCTAACAAAAGCAGAGTGAGCTAATTTTCGTTACGTAGAACGTAAAGAGAGTCTTTGGTGATGCTGCTTGACCTTTTAAAAATTCCTCACTGTAAGATGACTCAGCCCCGTTTTACTGTAACTACACACGATCTTTTTTAATTCTCTTCAGAGTGTGAAATCTTAAGTAGCTTTTTTGCACATACAAAACGAATGGCCTTGACTGTCTCTTTTCCAGCATTAATTGCAGCTGTGTTCATTCAGTCCACTAGCACTTCTCCCGCCGATATTACATAAGTCGCCACTTTTTGAAGATACTTTTAATAGAAATGGTCTACAGAATAGAATAGAATCACACAGATTCCCTGTGTGACCGTAACATTCACTGCCTTCAGTTACTTTCATCTTCCCAAATTTTTGTGTTGCCGCCTGAAACGGGAAGGCTTACCCCCTTAACTACACTGAAAAATGAACGTTCCGACTGATCCATTTAATCGTTCTCCTTCGTCTTCACCAATCCTTTTAGTGTTAAATCTATGCACAGATACTCCTGTAAATGAAACCCCATGGTGAGCATTACGTACGGCGCCTTTCAAAAGTATTCACGCACGTTAAACTTTTTCACATTTTTTCATTTAAACAAGAGATAATTGAGGAATGGAAGAAAAATTCTGAATGGTTCTAGTCATTTTATTTTTTATTTATTGTATTTTTTTTGCAAATCAGGATCTGAAAAGTGTGGTGTGCTTTTGTATTTACTCCGATAACCACATATCTAAAGTCATGTCCCACCAAGTGCCTCCAGAAGCCATCCAATTGGTAAAAAGAGTTCAGATGAGAGAGTGAGTCGACTGCATATTTGTGTAAAACCGCGTGTATGGTCTATATTGTGATACACCACAAATCTGGCCTTTGTGGAAGAATGTTGAGAAGAAACTTTACTTTGCATTAATGTCAGAGTTGATGGAAGATGGTTGGAGCTAAAAACAGGTCAATTGTGGCCCAACAAAAATGTGGCGCTGCAGGGCAACTACTTTCATCGTGCAGTCAGAGGGCAATTGGAATCGTTTATATCAGAATATGCATGTGTCTAAATGGCCCAGTCAAATTAGGCCTCAATCTTTGACATTATTTAAAAATGAATGATCAGAAAACCTTCCAGTTTTAAAAAGTTGAATGTGGAAAATGTAAGTGTGAGAGGGCTGCAGCTTTAAGTGGAGCAAATGGTTAAATTCACAGAGGAGTTAAATACAAATTCATGCCACTGTTTTATTTGAAGAAGTTTGGAAAAAAACTACTTTGTGTAAAACCCCAACGAAGTGCAATGAAGCTCACGGTTGTAGCCAGTTGCGAAAAAGTTAAAAGGGTATTAATACATTTGCGAGAAGCCGTACCGTAACCTCAGTTATGAAGCAGAACGAGGATAAACAAAGGCAGGGAATTAAAACTGGGTTCACTTCACTTCACAACTCTCCAAAGCAATAACAGCACTTGCATAGGTAAGCTACTTGTTTTTTCTACGTATAGCCAGGAGTTCGGTCGGCTGTTCCTGGAAGCTCAAGGGGAAGAAAGAAAGAAAAAAAAAGGGGCGGGGAGTTTCCAGGTTCAGAGGTCAACCAGAGGTGTGTTCAGTTCACCAGATTCTGCGTAGCGTCCTCGCCATCTTAAAGGAAGTCGACGGGTTCTGAACTGCTTCGATTCTGAACGGCCCTCGGGTCGCTGAACTTCTCCCGTCAGGGTCCGTGTGACGGAAGGGGCGGTATGGTTTGATCTTGTACGACCTCAAAAAGAAAAAAAAACAACTTTTGTTTCAAAGGGGTGGGGGGGGGAATTATTTTGTTAAGCAAAGGGGGAGGGCTTTATTTTGGGGGAAGCGGGAGGAATTCTTTTAGATGTTCAATGTTCAAAACAAAGAAAAAAAAATCTAATAACTATTTTTCTATTCGCAGTGGATCTAGTTAATTATTCCTATATGGTGTGAGCGAGTTGTGCCCAGCTGTAACTGTGCAGTAGATCAGGAGAGCCAGTGAATGAGAAGACATTACCAACACTGTGTCCACTTCCACTCTGCTACCATCAAACATTGCCCAGACAATGAATGTAGCCAAATACTCTGGCTATGTTTAGCCTTTGCTGGTGCTCATACTGAATGGTCTATATTGTGATACTATTTTTGTAACTGGATATTACGGTGTAGCTTGGTGAACTAGCTCGAAAAGGTGTGATTTCAATAAATAGCCTCAAGTGTGAAAGACCTGACGACGTCAGCTATACACGCTCACATGGGAAGCGTGTCCAGCTCGCATGCGCTGGACAGTATATACGCTACACGGACACTTATCCAGAAACTTTGCACGGTGGTTTGCGAATTCGTTGCTCAACGCTGAGCGAGTATGTCACAGTTAAGGTCGTCTTCCGATTCCTCAGTTAATCTGTTTTTTTGTAAAGTTTTGTTCGAGGGAAAAACGAGTCTTACAAAATAACAGGGATGCACGGATATGAAAATTTGGGCCAGTAACAATATCCGATATTAATATTGCTGTTGCGGCTGATAACCAACATTTACCCATGTTATTTATTATTTCACTACCCTTTTGACACCTAAAACAAAATAGCCGCACTTTCAGTTAAAATACCCACAATCCTGCACTGCATCACTTTGACTGTCACATGACCAACCTTCTCCCTTTCCCCTACCAAAACGCACAGCAGCAAGATGAAAAAGAAAAATCCTCCCGGCTTTATTTATCGGACCAATATGTTATAAAACCACTAATATCAGCAGGTATCGATGTTAGCGCCGATATATCGTGCATCCCTGAAAAGAAAAATAACATAATTCTTGATATAATTTCATAAATGACACCTCTTGTACTGCTATGCTAACATTTTCCAATAATTCTTCTGCAGGATGTTGATTGACTTGGCACGTTTCATTCAGCTGTTAAAAAAATCGCGTCCAGAAATACTTCTCGATGTACCGTTTTTGGAATGTGACATTTGTTTTATTTTTTTACCCATTTGAAGCCTGAATGCCGGATGTGTTGTGCGGTGGATAAGTGATGTTGTGGTGACAATAACAGTAGCTCAGGATTAGCAATCTCAGAGTCACAGCTGCCAGGGCAACACTAGTGCAACATAGAGAAAACAAAGTTTGTGGAAATATTCAGCTGTTTGAGGTGAAGAAGGCCTGATGACAATTTTGAGCAAATATATCTCACCTGAAATAAATGGCTTACCAGCTCATGATGTATTTCAAGCCAGGCCTCAAGGTTTGGAAGTATTTTGAGCAGCCAGTGATCCACACCACATATGACAACACACAAAAAAGAAAACAATTGATCCAAAAATGTGACCTTTTTTTAAATTTTTTTTTTTACCTTTCTGGATAAAGAAAATCAAACCACTTGGATTATGTCACTAAAATATTGCATGTTTAGTTTAAAATATAAGCGGGTGGAAGTTAAAAATGTTGTGGCCTGTGAGTCCTTTCAACTTGAACATTTTAGCCTGTGTGGAAAAAAAGTGTGGACACCCCCTGATCCAAGTTGATTTTGTGCTGCAGTGCCAGCTGAAATTCATATTATGTTGATAAAAACTCCTTCAATATGCATACACAGCACTGGTCATGATCGCCAAGGACGAGCCTTTCAACAGCGCCAGACTCAGTTATTGGCACCTCTGGTAAAACCGCGTGTACGTCCTTAAATTGTGTGGTTGCTATGGAGACTTCGCTAAAGCTGAATCTCGGGTCCGTGTCTGGCCTCGTTGGTTTCAATTCCTGTCATCCAAAAAGATGATTTATTATCGCTTTGACCGTGAAGGGGAGGATTTATTTTGTTTTAGCCTCCCCCCGTAACCTGTGAAGATCAGCACACCTACCTAATCTGACCGGCGTGGTCTCTTGTTTTTCCTGTTTTGAAGAGCGGCTTTCAGAAACCAGCTATAATCTGGTTGCCTCTGTGTCGCAACCAGATTATACGCCAGAGAGTCATAGATTATTGATTAAAATGTTCCTGGAAACTGATCAACTTATAACGTCTAAATGACAAAACTGCGTCAGTTTACAGAAATCCTTAAGAATTCAATAAATGTGTCACCTGGAAAGAAGAAAAAAATATATATATATCAAATTAAAGGTTTCATTCTCTTTGAAGTTGTCCAAAAGTCAGACCTTTGGTGGGATTATGTTCAGGCTCTCTGCACATCTACTTCAATAAGCGTGCCAATAGGTGTGAAACGGTGCTGTTATTAAAAAAGGAGGAGGAAAAACCGACTCCAACAGGCAAACATCAGCTGGCGGTTATGAATCGTGTCAACCTCAGCGAATGGTGCTCGAGATCTCCGCCCGTAATTGGCATGTGGATGGATGAACTGTTGCGGCACCGTCATTTTTGCTTTTTCCTCGCTCCCTTTTCTCTTCTGTAATATTTGCTCGCGTTTAGTCGTCGTTGATTTATAGGCGTTGACGTGTCGCTTTCTTTTATTTCGTTTAGGCCTTAGTTATTGAGCAAACCTCTCACAGTATTTTAGCACAGCATTAATTTGTTCAATACCACCAGTGATATTGTAAGCTCTTCACAAATGTAGTCTTTTTTTTTTTCCCATGTGTATTCACTGACCCTTATTCCAGGTGGTGGAAACTCCTCATCTTCTAAGCTCTCCTTAACGTAGGTGAGTGAGTAGCTGATGTGTCTAATACAGCGAAAAACCTCACAAATAACAAACAATGCATTCCTTTGACTATATCTTATGTACAGCTATTTTGTATTATTTTATATCATGTTCTTCTGTAACTGTCCGGTGCACAGACAATCGCTATACACATGTCAATAAACCAGACTAAAAAGAAAACTTGTCTGTTTCTTCATAAGGTAAATGTGTTTCCAGCAGAGGGCGCCCTCTGCCAGCGCTGAGGCTTAAGTCTGGCAGGAGCTGGTCTGCCATGGTTGCTTTGGATTGCATCACCGCTTTAAAACACTCATCTGCTTTAATGAGCCGTTTTGGCAGTCAAATACGGTACATCGGCATAAAAGTGTGATAAGAAGCTGAAAATTACAGAACGCCCGATCCTCAAAAAGCTATTGAGGAGACGGAAGAGAATCCGAGAGGTGGAAAGGCTCGCTGCGAGTCGCTTCTTTCAGAAGTTAGTTCAGAAATGATGTGACTTTTTGAAGCCTGAGGAAGAGTCCTTTTCTTTCAGAGAGGAGTGTGTCATGGCATCAGTGATGCATTTAAAATATTTTAGAGCCATCTCAGTCTGTGTAAGAGAAACCATCTTAATTTTAGGAAGAGTTGAGACATTTAACTACGGGAAGCCAGGCTGGGCTGTTGTGCGGATTGGATTTACTGCTAAGATCTGGACCAAGCATCATATTTTTTACTAGAACATAAAAAGACAGAAATCATTTTCATAAGGAAGGAACTTTGATCAAAACACAAAGAACACATTTTATAAAGCTGCTTGCCAAGCATTTTTGTAAAAATCAATTAAACTATTTTTATATGTAGTAGCAATCAATATGGACAGCTATTATATTTTCTGCTCTATTTTTCTGCAAAACATTACCTTTTATCTTCAAATATAGACAACGGATAGTTCAACAAAATCTACTCTACCAAAATTAACATCTAGTGTCATAACAAATGGCATTTAAACAAAGATCTTTAAAGTGCTATTTGCATTTTTCTTGCCTTTTCAGCTCATTTTCTGGTTTCTAATCAAATTCCACCTTCAAATTGTGTTTAACTTGTCTTGTAACGCTCGAGTCATATTTCAGAAAAGTGATTGCCAACAAGAAAACCCAAATGCAACTCGAATGCTTCAGAAATTATGTCGGAAGCGGTCAAAAGTCTTTAATCTGTAGCAGCGTTTAAGCTGACCATTTTTGTGCACTTTGTGATTTCATTGACCTAAAGTCACACAAAGCATAATTGTGTCTTTTCTTTTTTTAAGTATGTATTTTGGGAAGTCCTGTAATCATGATTTAACACGGGACATGATGATGAATCATTAATCATTGGCGTTTTGAGCATCAGAAAACATTTGTTGTGGAAAAAAATATATTACCGCTCGTCAACGTTGAATCACATCAAACACATCAAATGTTCGGTAACTGTCTTACTGCATCTAAGTAGTGCAGATGAAATCAATCCTGAACCTTTTTGATTCTCTCATTTTTAAGACCCAGTAAATTTTCTTGGATGAAAGAAATCACACAACCAATCAAAACAAAATTCACAACTTGCCAATACTAATCATCAAATGTTTCTGGTACAAAACACCAAACTATTGTGTGGCCTTTGGGTTTGAAAAACTTCATGTTTTCTTTTAATAAGACAATTAATGATCAAATATGAACTTCTTATTTATTGAGTGACATCGGTAATAGTATTTAAAGCTATTTTCAGTAGTTTTTCTTTTCTCTTCACATTATCCTAAAGTGCATAGCCCATGTGATGTGCCATTACACACTGCTTATTTTAATTCCAGGGCCCCTTACAGTCACACTGGGAAACATGTCGTACGTAGCTTTTATGTATCGTGTTGCGCGTTTGGTGGAGGTACTGAGTATAACAGGTGATGTCTCAGTGGACCGATTCTTCAGTTTGGATCCCAGCTAATTATTCTGAATCCCTCTTTGGGAGAAATGGAAACCAGAAGGTTTCTGTTATGGGGATTGTGTGTGTGTGTGTGTTAATCAAAGGCCCTAAAATCTGAACCCTCAGCGGACTCTACTCTGTTACAGGGGGTAGCAAGGGAGGGCGTTTCTGCAATTGTTTCATCTATCCCCCATTACCTCCATACAC